TTCAATACGGCCGTATTGATTTCAGTACGGCCGTATTGAAGTTTCAGAAACTTCAATACGCCGTATTGAGTTCACTGCGGCCGTATTGAAGCTTCAATACGGCCGTATTAAGTTCAGTACGGCCGTATTGGGCTTCATTCCCTCCACTTCCTTATTTTGAGCTATTCTAAGACCTCTAGACCTACAGAGAACCCTCCTGGGGCCTTCCAGGAGTCCTTCTGGCTGATTTCCTTCAGTCTTCGAGAGTCTTCAAGCTTTATTTCCGACCCGGACAATTTTAGGGGTCTACAGCTACAATACTAGCATTGTTCATCTGGAAAGTGTCACTCACATAACAGTTACCTCCCATTGCTACCGTTGTATATATTTGTCATTCTTGTCATACAATGACTTCCTTTGTAAACACATTTCTTTCTTGAATAAGATTATCCTATTCCCTTATTGTCAATTCTCCTTGCATTTTTTGATAATATATTGAAAGGAAATGCATGTTACATGTTAAAAAATTCAAGTCATTACAAACTATTTTTTTGAAAGCCACAGTATGCTTGATAATTTCTTGATGAATGTTACAAAGCGCAACCAACAGGATAACGTTGTTTCAACTCATAAGTTCTTACAACAGCTTAAGGGTAACCCACAGGAAATAGCCAACTATCATTCAAGACAAAAGTATCCAAAGGCCTCACTCATCCATGATCCTTGACTGTGTGTCACGATGAGGAATTTCTGAAAAAGTGAAATAAACAAAAAGTGTAAGTCTTGAAAGTTGTGTCTCATAACATTTTGCATCATATCACCATTGCATCACATTTCATTTGCATCTCTTGCTTCCTAGAACTTATGATGTAGAGTTTTTAGGCTAAGCACTTACTTCACATTTGACTTTCTATTATTTAAGTCCAGTATCTACCTGACACAAGTTACATTTTCTTTTGTTAAAGCCCAGTATTTGCCTGGCACCAGTTATATCTTTCTTTTTAAGCCCAGTATCTGCCTGGCACCAGTTATATTTTTCTATTAAAGCCCAGTATCTGCCTGGCACCAATTACATTTTTCTTTTAAAGCCCAGTATCTGCCTGGCACCAGTTATATCTTTCTTTTTAAGCCCAGTATCTACCTGGCACAAGTTGCATTTTTCTTTTGTATAAGTCCAATACTTACCTGGCACAAGTTATATTTTTCTTTTGTATAAGCCTAGTATCTACATGGCACAAGTTGCATTTTTCTTTTGTATAAGTCCAGTACTTACCTGGCACAAGTTATATTTTTCTTTTGTATAAGCCCAGTATCTACCTGGCACAAGTTACATTTTTCTTTTGTATAAGTCCAATACTTACCTGGCACAAGTTACAATTTCTTTTGTATAAGCCCAGTATTTACCTGGTGCGACCCATCGACCAATTCAGCACAAGCATTTGGTCGATCCAATATCAGCATTCAATCAATCCAGCACCAGCATTTGATTGAATTGGCACTAGCATTCGGTCGATACAGCACAAGCATTCGACCACCCCAGCATTAGTATTCAGTTCATCGACAATCAATCAATCCAGCACCAACATTTGATTGAATTGGCACAAATATTCGGTCGATACAGCACAAGCATTCGACCACTCCAGCATTAACATTCAGTCCATCGACATTCAATCAATCCAGCACCAACATTTGATTGAATTGGCACCAACATTCAGTCGATACAACACAAGCATTCGACCACTTCATCACAACCATTTAGCATTAATATTTGGTTGATCAAGCACAAGCATCCAACCATTTCAGCATCAACATTCGGTCGATCCAACACAAGCATTCAACCACTCCATCAAACATTGGAATTCGGTTGATCAAGCACAAGCATTCAACCACTTCAGCATTGTCATTCGGTTGATCAAGCACAAGCATTCAAGTACATCAGCATAAGCATTCGGTCGATCTAGCACAAGCATTCAACCCCTCCAGCACAAGTGATCCTTGACTGTGTGTCACGATGAGGAATTTCTGAAAAAGTGAAATAAACAAAAAGTGTAAGTCTTGAAAGTTGTGTCTCATAACATTTTGCATCATATCACCATTGCATCACATTTCATTTGCATCTCTTGCTTCCTAGAACTTATGATGTAGAGTTTTTAGGCTAAGCACTTACTTCACATTTGACTTTCTATTATTTAAGTCCAGTATCTACCTGACACAAGTTACATTTTCTTTTGTTAAAGCCCAGTATTTGCCTGGCACCAGTTATATCTTTCTTTTTAAGCCCAGTATCTGCCTGGCACCAGTTATATTTTTCTATTAAAGCCCAGTATCTGCCTGGCACCAATTACATTTTTCTTTTAAAGCCCAGTATCTGCCTGGCACCAGTTATATCTTTCTTTTTAAGCCCAGTATCTACCTGGCACAAGTTGCATTTTTCTTTTGTATAAGTCCAATACTTACCTGGCACAAGTTATATTTTTCTTTTGTATAAGCCTAGTATCTACATGGCACAAGTTGCATTTTTCTTTTGTATAAGTCCAGTACTTACCTGGCACAAGTTATATTTTTCTTTTGTATAAGCCCAGTATCTACCTGGCACAAGTTACATTTTTCTTTTGTATAAGTCCAATACTTACCTGGCACAAGTTACAATTTCTTTTGTATAAGCCCAGTATTTACCTGGTGCGACCCATCGACCAATTCAGCACAAGCATTTGGTCGATCCAATATCAGCATTCAATCAATCCAGCACCAGCATTTGATTGAATTGGCACTAGCATTCGGTCGATACAGCACAAGCATTCGACCACCCCAGCATTAGTATTCAGTTCATCGACAATCAATCAATCCAGCACCAACATTTGATTGAATTGGCACAAATATTCGGTCGATACAGCACAAGCATTCGACCACTCCAGCATTAACATTCAGTCCATCGACATTCAATCAATCCAGCACCAACATTTGATTGAATTGGCACCAACATTCAGTCGATACAACACAAGCATTCGACCACTTCATCACAACCATTTAGCATTAATATTTGGTTGATCAAGCACAAGCATCCAACCATTTCAGCATCAACATTCGGTCGATCCAACACAAGCATTCAACCACTCCATCAAACATTGGAATTCGGTTGATCAAGCACAAGCATTCAACCACTTCAGCATTGTCATTCGGTTGATCAAGCACAAGCATTCAAGTACATCAGCATAAGCATTCGGTCGATCTAGCACAAGCATTCAACCCCTCCAGCACAAGCATTCAACATTAACATTCGGTTGATCCAGCACTAACACTTGATGATCTCAACACAACATTCTAGCATTGGACTGTTCAAGCAAAAACATCGAATCTTTCAAGAACTTACTTCATCAACAATAGGAGCTATGTCTTGGGTAGCTGGATAAAATTAATTCACAATTTCTAAGGAGTAAATTAAATATTTATAAATTTATATAATTTTACGCAATTAATTAAAAGTACTGTTTTTACAGGCGTTGTAGGGTGCTAATACCTTCCCTACATGTAATCGACTCCCGAACCCAACTTTAATTTTAAAGATTATCTTTTAAAGGATTTTCCAATGTTTTCCCTTAAAATAAAATATTGGTGGAGGCTCCATTGGAAAATAAATGTTAGTGTCATCCCGTCGTGATCCCGGTTACGACAAACCTCCCTTACCTTGATTGAAGCTCCACATAAGACGAACGAGCTTCTGAGCTACCATGGGGAAGAAGAAGGAAGAAGAGAAATTTTAAAGATTATCTTTTAAAGGATTTTCCAATGTTTTCCCTTAAAATAAAATATTGGTGGAGGCTCCATTGGAAAATAAATGTTAGTGTCATCCCGTCGTGATCCCGGTTACGACAAACCTCCCTTACCTTGATTGAAGCTCCACATAAGACGAACGAGCTTCTGAGCTACCATGGGGAAGAAGAAGGAAGAAGAGAAACGGAGATAGAACGCCAACTTCGGGCTTCAAGTTATCACTTGCACTCCAATCTCTACTCCACACCAGCTCAACCTTGAAAAATCAACAATAAAGAGGAACAAAGAGTTTCAGCAATTTGAGAAGTTAGAGTGGATAAGAAGGGAGAATAAGAGTAAGGTGTTTATGGGTCTCACATTAAAAGGCAAATGTTCTTAGTGTTGATGGTAGTTTTTCTGATGAGCTAAACATATTTATATGACCAAAACAATTTGACATCTACCATGGGATCTTGATAAAAACGTTTTCGATGTCCAACATTCAAGAGTCCATCTACCTAGAACATGATGCACAATTCTAATAGATAAGGAATAATAGGGAATTTCAATTCAAAGCCCCTAACATTGCAACACACTACATGAAAAAAGTGAACTACTAATGAACATTTTCTAACAAATCTATATCTGTCGAAAAATATATTTTACTGACAGATTAAGAACTTATAGATAAGTAAAATTTATCGACAAATTTTTTTGACCTATTTATGTCTGTTAAAAAAATTGACATTTTCCGACAAATGTGACAAAAAATTTTATTTTAAAATTTTTGGTTGATATTTCCCACATATTTTTTTGACAAATGTTTCCTACTTGAAAATCACGTTTATTCAAAAGAATTCATAAGTAACTTAAAAAAATGAAGAAAACATAATGACTACAAATTAAATAAAAATGTAATCTATAAAATCCTTAAATGCTTAAATAATTTTACATGTTAATTTAAAAAAAGTAAAGATATGAGATTTCTATTCGCTAATTATGATTATCTTAAAATAATACGTTTATTATATAATTTATTAATTTACTTCAACCAAAACATAGATGAACGTTGGTGTGGGTTAGCAAGTGTTTATATACACAATTTACTTTTAGAAAATATAATATTAGTAGCTATAACCGTAATTTTCTTAAAACACACGATATAACTTATTAACATACTCAATTAATTACTTAATGAAAATTTTGAGTATAAATTTAACTATTCCACTAGTTGAATTGAAAGTTTATATAAAATCATTTAATTTTATAAAATTTAATGCAAATAAAAAAGTAATTGATATTTTATTATAAGGATTTACTTTAATGGATAATATTTTTTATTTAAAATATAAGTAATTGCTATCGACAATTGTCTAAATTATGCAAAATTTAATATACAATATCCAAAAGATAATACAAAATAATTCAACAGTCCAACAATTAAAATTGTATACTAAAGAAAGTTATTAAGTGCTAAAGTTTGAAATTTTATGTCAATTGATTGTCCCATTAATTATTAGGAAGCATATACGTTCGAGATTATGAGAAAATCTTTTTTATATAGAGAAAAGTAAGTTTATAATAAATTTGGAATATAAAATTATATATATTTCAAGTTGAAAGAAAATGCACAAAATTTTATGTTCAAATTTTGGTGTCTTAATTATAATTTCGATGAATAAATTTTTTTATTAAGTTACTTTTTTGAAAGAAAAAAAAAACCTGACTTTTTGCTTCATGGTTAACTTATTTAAAGGTTTGGAAATTTGTATACCGAACAAAATGTAGCCATCAGTGGGACTCACACGCACGCTGGCCCTGGTGGTTACCTTCAATATGTGGTTTATTCTGTGACCTCTCTGGGTTTTGTGGAACAATCCTTTGATGCCATTGCTAATGCCATAGAACAAAGCATTATTCAAGCTCACAATAACCTTAAGCCTGGTTCCATTTTTATGAATATAGGTAACGTATTTGTGTCTCCATGCTTTATAATCTAACTCAACCTCTTGGATGACTTGTTACTCTATTTTTTATTTTCCATTGATGCCTTAATTAGTTGTTAAATATCTGAGAAATACTACTTTTAAGTTAGTCTATCTTCTTAATTATTTGCTATATCTTTTATGTTAGTTTATTAAATATCTAGTTCCACTATGCTTAGTGAGATTTACATAAAATTTATTTAAAAATAAAATAACCTATAAAATAAAATCTAGCTAATGATTCTTTAAATAAAATTTGGGAAAATCTTACATGCAATATCACAAGTTCTTTTAGCCAATATGATGTGACATAATTTGCAAATGATCTTGTCTCTAAAACAATGGTAGGTCAGTGGTTCAACTTTCAAGTTAGTATGTATAGAAAAACAATCTTGAAAGAGATCAATTTATAGAGAGTATACTTGGAACTCATTTTTCTTCTCTCTCCACATTGAGATGTCTAATTTATTACTATTTCTTACTTTCAAATGGACATGAATTTGATTGATTCAAACACCGAAGAAAACATGCCATGAGTGAATTTGAATAAGTAGAAAAATGTTTGATCATTTCTTTTAAAATACACGCAAGTATAACTCGTTAACTTACTCCAATTAAAAAATAAATGAGTGTAAGTTAGCTCCCTTCACATAGATATATAAGTAGAAAAATGTTAGCAACACATTTTGTGACACTCTTTTAAACATATAATTTCTAGTTGATTCAAATTTATTAGAAAATATAAAATTTGGTGGATTTCATGCCCAATTTAATGACTCTCTTTTTTTCTTCTTAATTTTATAATTTTCAATAAATTTTGACCAATGTGAGTAAATATATTAAGAGGAGTGTGTAAGTATGTTAGAGAATGTGTTGCTAGCATTTTTCATATAACTATTATTATATAGAAAAGTCAAAGTTGTAAATGTTAGAGAAGCCATAAGGTTATTGATATCTTAAAATGAAATAGGGTGGTTCAATTCAAAGTAGTAAATGTTAGACAAGCCATAAGGTTTTTGATTTCCAAAAGTGAAATAGGGTAGGATAGCTTGCACAGGATCTAGAAGTTCTAATATCTTGCTTTTTCTGGTTTCTGTAGGAGATGTGAAGGACGCGGGTATAAACAGGAGTCCGAGTGCATATCTGCAAAACCCTGCAGAGGAGAGAGCAAGATATCCCACTAATGTTGACACACAAATGACCCTTTTGAGGTTTATGGATGGAGCAAGTGGTAAAAGTATTGGAGCATTTAGCTGGTTTGCAACACATGGTACCTCTATGAGCAGAGACAACAAGCTAATTAGCGGAGATAACAAGGGTGTTGCTGCAAGACTTTTTGAGGATTGGTTTGCTTCTCAAAATAAATCTTCATCCTCAAACACCAATTCCACAGAACCAGGTATCAAAAACTTTAGGGGTAATTACATTTACTTCTCTTAAAGTTGATGCTAATTAGGTTGACACTCCATGTTTTTAAAATTATAGAAAACTTCCCTTCGCTACTTCTTCATTTTTTTAAACATTGTAATCAAACTTGGTATCAAAAAATTTAGAACAACTTACATACCTTGCTTACTTAACTAATTGAACTAGATTCTCTTCATCTTGTTTTTCCCTATATTTATATGCAAACGACATGCACAATAAGTAATTTTAAGAGGAGAAAATATGTTATGCATTAACAATTTATATTGTCATATAAGAAGCACAAATAGTGAGACACATTTACAGAATGTCATGTTAGCATGTTTGACACATTTTGAACATGACAATTTTCAATCATGCTTTGGACATGTGTCCAACACCTCTCCATTGTGTCACAATTTTGGTTTTGATTTGGATACCTCTTCGATACACCTTGAACATTTATTTGACATGACTTGAACACCTTCCGTCATGACTTGGATGAGTTAAGAAAGTGAACCAATACCTACTCTTGGCTAAACATTTATCCAACACTCCCATTACAAAAAAAAAAAAAACAAATTCAACTTGTTTTTATAAATATTATAAGGCACATGATGTTTATATATATATATATATATATATATATATATATGAGGAGGGTTCAAACGACACAGGTGTAACTTTTACTAAGTGTTACACCACTTAATAACTTTATATTAAATGTGAATTTTGAAAATCCAACCGTTAGATTGA